AGCTTCTATTGGGATTAGGTAAGTGTTGGCTAAAAAAGAGAGGCACCCTCATGGGTCTAAGGTATGCTTTTTATGCTCTAAATAGTGAGTTAAGCACTTTTGCTATCTTTGAGAGATAACTGACTTAATCTTCGGAGTGCCCCCGGGTGGACAAACCAACGCCGGAATCTCTTCTTTCTGTTGCAGGTCGTTTGGGCTTAATCTATTTTGCCGTTGAGTACTTAGTTGGCAGTGTGGTCAGAAATTGACACACACAAATTTATCTTAAAATGTGATGTGTGACTTAAATTTAGTTTTTGTAAAATAAAATTTATAATTGAAATGAATCTCCACTCACCTTTTCTTTTCTTTTTTTTTTTTTTGTTAATATTTTTGTGAATAATTTTTTTGAACATAGGCATTACTGTGAGGAGGAGGAGGATAACAAGATGGTGAAAGAATTGTTTTTCATGTGGTTTTGTTTTTACGAATTGTTTTCTATTCCCCCTAATATATTTTGAGTTATCACTAGTAGATTTGGTTGATGCCTCCGCGATGAAAAATTATTATTGATTTAAATCATGAGAGCTATTTACTTTTGTATTAAAATTTTAAGAGATAAACAGTTAAGTGTTAATTATAAATAAAATAGAGTATTGTTCTAAGAATACTGAATAATTTCTCCCTCAATTAAATGTAATTTTAAGTCAACAAGTCAACTGAACAATTCCATGGATACTTCAACAACTTTTAACATTTTTTTACGAAATCAAACACGACCAATTTTTCCACAAACCTGGATTTTCAATGGGGATGTGTTTGGTATTACTTATTTTGACCAACTTATAAATTCTAACTTTGAAAAAGTTATTTTGAACTATTTGGTTAAGCTTATTTTAAATAACTTCTGATTCTAATAACTTATTTTAGCTTAAAAAGGTTGATTCTGAAAAACTGTCTACCCCCTGCTTCTAATTATCAGGTTTTGCTGTAGACATGTTAATTTATGATTATACCTTTAGATTTTTTTTATTTTTTATTTTTTATTTGTTTAAAAAGAAAAATTGGTCTAAGATCCCTACCCAACTTTTAGTATGAGGAGAGATTCAGAATAATATTTTTTGATGCCTAAGGTCCCTCAATGTTATTTTAGGTTGCAAAATACCTATTTTACCCTTCTTTATAATATACATGATTTTCAATTTTAGAAACTAAAAATTATATTGCTATTTTATAGGAGATTACGTTGGGATGAACTTGACAATGGAAACTTTCGTGGAGAACTTGATAATGTAGATTTCCGTGGAGATTTTCTAGAAATTTTGTAGATGTTGATCGTGTAAGAGTTGAAGTCGTGTTAATTTGATTTCCAGTAGAGTTGAATCAGGTAAGTTTAATAATCAGTGTAAGTTTTGATTTTTCAGTTGATTTGTATGTAAGGATTTCGATTTCATATTAGTTTTTCTAGTGTATTTTGAATTAGGCTTTTGTTTTCAGTTTTGACCAATGTGAGAGATAGACTAGCTCAGTGTAGTTGTTTTTTATTTTTGAAGTTGATTTTTCATTCTTTGTTATTGACAATGGAGTTTGATTTTGATTTTTGTAGTTGATTTTTCGTTCTCTGTTACATGCTTATCAATAATAAGTTTTGTTCTTTGTGTTTAGAGACCAGTTCTGTTTTTCTGCACTTTTTCTAAGTTTTGTGCTTCGTTCGTTTTTTTTTTTTTTTTTTTTTGCACTTTTATTTGTATTCCAAAGAAAATTGTAGGTTTGTTATTATTATCTAATGAAAATCACGAAGAAAATTTGAAGCTTGTAATCCAGTGAAAATCACAGAGAATATTATAATTTCATAACAAATATTCTCTATGATTTTTGTCTGTGATTGTGTTTAATAGTTAGCATTAATTTTCTCTATGATTTTGTTTTTGTTATCTTTAGGTGAATATAAGTTTGTAAATTTCTCTAGACTTTTTTTTTAGTCCAGAGAAAATTATAAGCTTGTTATTATAATCCAGAGAAAATTATAATTATTACAAATTTTTCTGGACTTTTTATGTTGTGCTTTTTAAGTGTTTTTATATTAAACAAGTTATTTTTCGTGTTTTTTCTTTTAGTTTAGATAGACAGTGCAGTATTATTGTTGTGCAAATATGGAATTGAATTTTGAGGAATTGGTTGGCATTTATAAGTGATACGGGTATACCATGAAGGAAAAAAATTATTTTAGAATTTAATATGTATTGTCTTTATTAATAAATTTACATTACAATATAATAGGAACTAAAATTTTAAAATTTTAATTAGGCGTACTAAGTTATTTTTTGAGTGCAACCTACTTTGAGGCCTTACTACTAAGGATTAATTAGATAGGTTTGTTACATTTTCTACCTTTGAACTATCGTTAAATTGTCTACTTAATTTCTAAATTATTGATTGATTCTGCTAAGTCTTCTAAAGTATATAAATCAAAATCTATTTAGTCCTTAAACTATTGATTGAATTTATTAAATCTCTAAAATATTTAATTCAAATTTATTTAGTCCCTAAAAAAATTACAAAAATAAAAAATAAACCTACAAGTATTAAAAATTAGTAAAAGACCCTAAATAGTTAAGACTTTAGTCCGAAAAAATTTTAAATTTCTATTTAAATTAGTATCAGAGTTTGATTTCTCAGCAACACCAATAAAATTATACAAGTATTAGATATATTAAAGAAGTATAATCAGATAATTTAAATAATAATATTTCGCTACAAATAATAGTAAAACAAAATAATAAATTAATTAAGTTATGAAAAGAACTCAACGAAAAACTTTAAAGACAATCAATTAGAAATTGTATACAAAATCTGACATATAATACTAATTAAAAGCAAGCAACCACCATAGAAGATAAAATAAAATTTTAAGATTTTTTTAAATAAAATTTTATTAGGTAGGATTTTTTACTAATTTATAATACTTATGGATTTATATTTTATTTTCGTAATTCTTTCAAGAACTAAATAAATTTAAATTAAATATTTTAGGGACTTAATAAATTCACTCGATAGTTTATGGATTAAATAGACTTTGATTTATATATATTTTAGAAACTTAGTGGGTAATTCTATTTACACACCATCATTATTCTCAGTAAACATCATTGTCCAATTTTTTTTAATTACCATTGTGTCCTTGAATGAAATTACCATTTTGGACAAAAATCCTAAAATCCAATCCACCAGCAGACTCCCCTCCGGCCACACCATCAACCAGCCACCGTCAACACCTTTCCCAGCCCCATCGTGCCAACTCCTCATTCTCCGGCAACTCTCAATCTCCTCTCTCTCTCTTCTTATTCCAGCCTTCATCTTTGTTGCCTCTGTCTCTGCAACTCGCGCCTCCCTTCTCTGCCGTCGCCGCTGCCGCAGCAATTCACACATTCGTCTGAGATCTGAAAACCCTCGGCTTTTCTCTCTCTCTCTCTCTCTCTCTCTCTCTCTCTCTCTCTCCATACGGTGGACAAGAGTTGGGTTGCGATGGAGGGGGGTGGGGAGACAAATCGCGATGGCAATATAGAAGCGGGTGGTTCACGATGGTGGAGTCACCATTGTCTTGGTGGCTAGGGATGGCGATTGTAGTTGAGGGATCAAGAGAGGAAGGTTGGCGGCGGTGAGGAGGATGATGACAATGAACAACGGGGTTGGGAGAGAGGGCAAAGACGAAGAGCAACAATGGTGATGGAGATTTGTCGGAAGAACATGAAGCTTTAGGGGGTTATCGGAAGTGATGGGCTAAAGAGTGGTGGCAGCCAACATTCGGTGGTACGAGAAGGGTAGCAGGTTGGAGAGGAAGTGGTGGCTGGCGGTGAAGGTTAGGGTTAGTGTTAGGTTAGGGTTTAGGATGTAGAGTTGAAGAAGATGGGGGTAATTTAGAATTTTTTGAAAAGTGATGGTGTGAAGTGAGAAGAAATCAAAAATCGAAAATGTGTGCGGTGTATATTGAGAAAATGATGTGTACTAAAACATTTGATGGTGTGTAAATAGAATCACCCATACTTAGTAGACTCAATCGGTAATTGAGGGACTAAGGCTCCATTTGGGGAGTTGAGTTTTTAATCAAAAAATTTAAAAAGTTACTACAAGTTCTCAGGTTACTCTCTCTATTTTTTTAAATGTCTTTTTGTCAAAAACCTAATTAAAATAGTCAATTTCCAAATGGATCCTAAATAGATGATTTGACAATAGCTCAAGAGTAGAAAATGCAATAAAACCTAATTAGATTTAACACCTATGTACTTTAATCAAAATTTTAAATTTGCCCTGCATTTCTAATTGCAATAGTCAATTCATTACATTTGAATGAAGTTATAATGTTGTTCTTCCGTTAACCTACCATCCATTAATGAAGCTGACAAAAATTGATATGCTGACCATACTAAACATTTTTTTGTACGTCAGTAGCACTATTACATTTTTACTAAAATTTCACTTTAATTACTCTACTTTTAATTTTTATCACCCCCATTAATGGTAGATGAGCAAAAAAGTGACATTATAACTTAACTTCAAATGTAAAAAATTGACTATCGCGATTAAAAGAAAAAGGACCAAAGTGAACTTTTAAGAAAAGTAATGTCAAATGTAATTAACGCCCTTATTAAAATATCGTTTTGGCTAGTAACTAAAATAACTTACTTTGATTTGACCATAGACAAACCTCACCGTCATATCAAGTCATAATCAACATCACTTTGTTAACAAAACTTATATTTGGTAAACAAAAAACGATATTTGACCCCTCTTAATTTACATACTAACTTACCCTTCACTCAAATGGGGAGGAGTCAGGTTTAGTTATATGGTAAAAGGTGTATGTACTATAGACATAACCATTCAGCATTCTTGCAGGCTATAGGAGGCTTAGATGGATGCATTGGCTACACTTGCTTGGAACAAAAAGATATCTTCAATCTTGGGTATGAAAATCATTGTTTCGAACAGATAAAACATTGTTTCCCCTCAAAAAATTAAAATAAAGAAAACAAAACAAAACATGGTTTTGTAATTTATTTCCTTTCACCAGTATATATGCTACAAGAGGATTAAGAAAAAGAAATGGTTTCTACATTGCTAGGCTAGCTTAATTTATTTCTTCCCCATCAAAATACTTCACAAATTTCACAAGCAATAACTCTGAACTTAAACAGCTAGACTAAGCATCTCCAAACTTTGGCTACAATGTTAACAATGGCTAATCAATTTTTGGAATGACTTTGTACAAGCAAGACCATCTTGGAAAGAAACAAATAAGGGAAAATACACACAGAACCAAGAGAACTCACACATTCAAGTGAAAAGAACAAGGTACACAGCCTCAGTCCAACTCAACTTGTGAACTGTATGTGGGATGAATTCATGAATCTTTGTCCTTGGAGAAACTCCGAGGGAATCTGCTAATAACATTCTCGTCCACTATTTTGTAGTGATTGGAAAATTGTCGGTGGATCAGACCAGCAAACCGATCAACATGGTCTTGATATTTATTGTATAGGGCAGGTACTGTAACAAAAAGAATGATTCCTGCCACCAATTAAAATGACAAAAATGTCAGAAAACACACATCATGGCATATGGGCTTGATTGCAAATGCTTCCTGTGTCTAAACAAATGTTGAGGCAAAGTTCTTGAGGTTCGTAGCAAGTAGCTAGTATCAATTACCCCAACCAAAGTGTGATAAAATAACTCCATCATCCACCATGTAAAGTAATGATTCAATCAAATCCAGGTTGGTGGAGGTTCAGCGGTGTTAACTCGATGACTTCTCGGTTTTTTTATTTTTGATAAGTTAACTTCATAAATAATTTGTTAAAACAAGGAAAAGAAAAAGAAATGACAATAGAAAAAATGCAAGCGTATGAACAAGACAAATGTACTGCTTTTTGTTGCATTTCAATCTTACATATTTGATTTCATATCCACTACAATTTACTTTTTGAAGATCATATATACTAAAATTTAGAGGTTGTGTGACCTGGAGCATTGGCAAGGGCTATCCACTTCCTAAGTAGTGGCATGGGTTCAAGTCAAGGGAATCAGCCTCTCATCAAAAACAAGTGGGGGGAAAGGCTGTCTACCTACTACCTCTCATAAACCCTGCTATAAGTGGGAGTTTTTTAACTAGATACAACCATATATACTAAAATTTTTAGTCCAAGGTACAAAATCATCTAATCCACAAAAGAAATTTACAGCATGGCAAGAAACTCAAGGCCAGCTTGACAAAAGTACAAGATGGAGTGTATATAGATATCCAACATAACTAACTAGTCCATTGTGTTCCATAAGATCTATGAATGTTCAATTGTGTTTCTGATAACATTTAGCCACTGTTGCACTTGCACAGAGATGCCAGTTCCATTTCCAATATTTGCTGGCTTTATATACTCTAGAAACTAAGTCTGAAATACATAGGTACCAAATACAAAAATAGCAATTTCAAAGTAATAGCAATATTTTCCAAATCCAGCTTAGCAGAAATAAATCATGCTCTCAATGCTAACTCGAAGTACAATAGACATTTAATTAAGACATCAGCAACACCACACCAGGTGAAGCAAGGCTCCAAACTGTGAATGGGCACTTCCTATTGGTTAACAACACATAATGGCTCAGTGTGTTTGGTTTCAATTTTTTAAATTCAGTTTTCTGGAAATTGAGTTTTTTTTTTTCATGTTTTTTTTGAATATTTTTTAAATTTTAAGCAACTTTTTTTTTACTTTTTTAGATACACCTTACTTAAATGTATTTAAATAGTAAAATATTTGTGAAAAAATATTTTAAAAAATTAATAAATAAACAAAAATACAAAACATGGACTGAATTTTCGTATTTTTTTTTGTATTTTTTATATTTAGTGAATTTTTTAAAGATTTTTTTCGCAAATATTATACTTTTTAAGTGTATTTACGTTAGATATGTCTAAAAATTTTAAAAAATTTCTAACAATATTAAAAAAATTCATTGAAAACAAAAAAAATACGGAAAATAAAAAAGTAAAATTTTTTGAATAGTGTTTTCTGAAAACCAAAACCAAACAAGCTGTTGCAATAAAGATTAACTAGTTAAAGGATACAGACCATTGGCACAACCTGGGCGTCAAGGGTTCAAAGCATAGAAATGGCCTCATCACATGCCAGGTTAAGGCTGGACCCTCCACAGACTTCACAGCAGTAGGAACCTTGTGGACTGGGCTGCCCTTTTCAAGATACAGACATAGCTATTTGTATTTGTGTTTACAAGCCCAAGACATATGGCATTTTGTTTATAGAAAAAATCAAGGCCAAACATATCCATGTGTTGATACACGCACACACAAAGCATATTTTATGTGCACACGCTTACATATTGTCTCACATGAAACATGGTAAACACAAACCTGACAGTTCATATACTGCAAAGGTCTACATTATGGAAAAGATCCTGTGGTTTATGGGAAAGAATCACAGATATTTTTAGCACCCCCACCCCCCTCCCAAACAACCCCGCCTCCATCTCATGCTATTGCTTATGCTATCCTTTTTGTTATTTATGTGCAATTTGTTAACATAAAAACTTTTCTAGGTTGAGAATGTGTCTATCCTTACTAGTGGTGTATTAATCCACACCCATCAACACCCTAAATCAGGCAAGCTCAGCATGTAGAAAATGGTAACCTATTTTTTATACCAACAGACCTGAAGGCTCAGCCCTCGTCTCATGACAATAGATTACAATGTCAGTAGGGAAAATGAGCTCGTAATGAAACAAAAGAGAGTAGATTACATTGGGATGTAAATTAACAAAAATTGAACACAAAGTGTTCAACTACAATGTTTAGATGAAAGACCAAGGACAAATATACATACCAATATATGCAAGTGTCAAGAAAGAGATTACACTGCCAATTACAGACAAGAGCCATAGGCAGACCACTACCTGTCAATTCAATAAAAGATTAGTAAGGCATTTTTTTTAATAAAGAAGTGATCCATAGTACACAATTAAGAGAAGATAGTTCTTAACTTCTAGTAAACAGAAACAACGATTGTATGCTGAGGACAAATAATCCATAAGGCAAGTAGCAGGAAGGGTCAATCATCACTGACTTTACAAAGCAAGATCTGTACTAAATGTCTATAGGTCATTGTGCAAAGTTTTCATCAAATTGCATTACCATGTCCATGTTATGTTTAAAACCATGCCAAGCAAATATTATCTCCTCTGGCATGCCAGGATAGCACCCACCACCATAGTGTTCCAACTACCTTTTGCGCTATGCAACCCAAGATAAAAACCACCACACACCTCTCTCTCTCTCTCTCTCTCTCTCTCTCTCTCTGTGACATTCAAACACCTTGACACATGCACACATGCACACATACACACACACATGCAATTGGGCATACATTAGGTTTACTTATTTATTTAGTTATCTTCCAAAATGGTGCAACAACTTCTCTATGGATTTCTTTTCTAAATAGTCATTTCTATAACAAGAGAAACGCATACCATTAGTATCCAAGATAGAAAAAAGTAATCAAATTTTATTAAAAAAATAAGCCGATCACAAATCATAGAGTTATCTCATATAGATATAGCTGGCTCTCACTAACCTTGAAGAAAAGTCTAAAGTCTTTGCCAATTGTTATATCATGAGCCATAAGCAGCGCATAATTGATTTTGACACGAAATGATGCAGCAGCGTTAGTGACCATTTCTTCTGATAAGACTAATTCAGGTAATGTCTGTATTGGTCTGTGCAAAAAGAAAACAACAATAGTAAGTGTTTCTACAGTAAAAGAATAAGAAACTTGTAGTTGCTAATTGTAGAGGGTAGAAGAGTTGTACTTATTTCTGAAACTAGCATAGTTGGCCCGAAGAAACGGCAGTGCAATCAAGATCAACAAGACATCTGAACAAATTGATAAGAATGACAACCCCGACCGCTCAAGTAGGAACCATGCAACAGTAGCAACAACAATGATTCCACATGAAACACGCCGTCGCTTCCACAATATAACATCAGCAGCTAAGAGCAAAATGAACCAGGTATCAGTTAAACAAGATCCACGAAACAAGCGGCATGGATAGGCAGGAGAACGCTACATTAATGGTAGCTAGGAAATGTTAACAGAGAACATCAAAGAAGACCATGGATGAACATTATCCATGAGCATTGCACCATATGGCCAGACAAGCAGCTACCAACCAACCTCACATTCACTGCAACTGCAGAAAAATAGACTTCAAATTTGAAAGCAAGCACTACTAGTGAACATCTTATATGGAAAAATTCCCAATTTACTCTGTTATTGTAAACTTGAAGAGAAAATGGGTCACTGGTGCATAGGGTAAAACTAGCTTACTAAGTTTGAGGTAGTGGGTACAAACATGAGAGCAGCAGCCACTTTGTGCGGATTATGCCAGAGATTAAGTTTGGAACCATTGGATGAGAGTCTGGGAAGGGTTGATATGGGTGCTGGTACAGATTACAGGTATTCCCGGATGAGAAGGGGGAAAAAAAAGGATAAGGGTACGTCCATAAAAGAAGTTATTTTTATAATTTGTAGTAGTATATGACATATAATAATTAAAAAATCAAACGAAAAAAATAATTAAAGTATTTTTCTAGTAGTCAAAAAAATCCGTAAGTCATTTTTAAAAATTTGATAATTGCAAAAATACCCTATATTTTTAAAGTTTTAAAATAGGCACAATATAATTAATCCTATAGCTCTATATTTTAAGAAAATTACATTGATGCCCCAAAGTATCCACTAAAGTACCCAAAATGTACCCATCCCATACCCGAGCCGTACTGCATCGTATGGTACCCGAGCTTTAGCCCACACTATTTAGGGATATTGATAAGTAAAAAAACGAACAAGAATTATAGGTAAATAAATCTAATCAATAAGACCGGCTGTGAGTCCCCTACTTTCAAACTATCCATCCACGCTTCATAGGTCTATGGATCTTAACTTTTCTTTTTGGTCAACAAATCCTAGATCCAAACACAGCATAAATGAATTCCGAACTTAAAGTTGTGAATTTGCTATTTAGTGATGAAAAGAATTATCCATCAACAAGGCACAATACAAAGGTTTGGCAGGAGTAATAAAAAAGGGTACCTTATCTACCGAAATCAATGTATAAATATGAACTTCCTCAGCAATTACAAACATGGTTGAATAATTTCTAGTAGAATAAGAAAATTTGCAGAAATTACCTGTACCACCACCCATCATCTGATGAACTGTGGTTTGTCGACCGATCAATCGGAAGTGTGAGGCGCCAGATGTTGAAGAAGCGGAACAAGTATAGTTCCTTCCATCTCCATCGACCTCTTCATCACAGAGATCTTGTATATTATCCATCGAATTCACTGCAAAACTACACTACACCCAACTCATACAATCAAACCACTAGTTTTCGAAAATAATTTTATAAAAAATAAATAAATAAACAAAAAAGATATTGAAAATCAGAGTCGTTTGGTGATGATGATGATGAACAGACCTTGCTGAATCGATTGGAGTTTAAAGATCGATTAGATTGTTTGACCGGTGGTTGATCTATGAAGCAAGAAAACATAAAATCATTTGACGTTTCCTCAGGATCAGGACCAGGAGCAGACATTTGTGAATATTCATTCCAACAGAGGGAGTGATTTACGCCCATCTAAACGACGTCGTTGCAGTTGCCATTTATGTCTTGTCAGTCAACCATGCCATGCCTGCCGGGAAATTGCTGTGCGTTAGTTGGAAAGAAAAGAGGGACCACTATCCATCAATATATATTAGTGTTTCACCACGGTTATATTTATAATTATTTATATATATATATATATATATTGTTATTTTTAAATGTTTTTTTATATATATAGTTTAATCAATATGTTTATTTTTATTCAAAATTTAAAATTAATGTATGGGTAAAATTTATAACTAAATTAAGGAAAAATTTATTCCTAATGATATTTTTTTGCTTTTATATAAATACTTAAAAAAATAAATTTGAAAAAAGTAGTCAATATAGTATTATACATTAAGTACAAAAATGTAATTAGTAATTATGCTTACATAGTTTTAATTTCGAATTTTAAAAAAACAAAAAAATATATATTTTAAAAGCATTTTATTTATAGTAGCAAATAGAATTTTCTTAGCAAAAAGAAAAGTTATAAAATTTTGTTACAAATTTTGAAATGTCCATTGTTAAACATTTTATTCTATTTGCTTGTTTGTTTGATTGTTTGTTTTGAGAGTTTTGATCTTTGCTCCACGTTCATTGTATTATTTTATTTATTTTTTTTCTTCTTATTTGATTTTCGCATAATACTTCTTTCATAGTACATCTCCGAATGTGTTAATGAAAACATCATACACTTAAAATGCACAAAATTACAACATATAGAGAGAGAGAAAAAAAAATAAAAAAGAGTAAGTAATTGTCCAAAACTAAAACAACTTTAAGAAAAAATAAAAAATAAAAACAAAAATGAAATTGTTTGAAATATAAAATGATTTACTTATTTATTTATTAATTTTTAAAAATAAACTTTTAAAGAAAACAAAAAAAAACTATATAAAAAAAAAAGTATAGAAACTAAACATAAAATATAATATAAAAAATAAATGAATTATAGGATTTCAAGAAGTGAGACTCACAAATAAATTTTGTAATATCTTGTCTATTCATATACTTTTTGTGTATATTTTTTGTAATTTTAATCCCGAGAATGACATTCAAATAGTCTACACTTCTTGCATTAAGTCCATTTAGTAGCTTTAGTAAACACAAATGTAATAAATTTCATAACACATAACACAAAACACAAACAATTGTGAGACAACGTATTTAAAAAAATAAAAGCAACATTCGATGATGATGTAGAAGTATACCTGACGCTTTAATTGGAGGTATAAGCAGATAAATTCTCATAGAAGGGAAAGACAACATTTATTTTTCTTCATAACAATTACATAACTCAATATATAATTTTAATGTCTCTCATTTTTTCACACGTCCAATTCTCTATCAACATTAAAATAAATGCATGAACCAAAAAAAAAAAAAAAACATTTGAGAAGACAAAGAGATGTGGTTTGAGACATTTCAATTGTTGAATTCTATTACTTAACAGTTATTAGGCTTCAATGGTCGGGCTTCTAACATTTGCATTAAAACCGAATTCTTTGATTTCATCTATATTCACTTCAAAATTTGAGAGTGGTCACGTGTCAAACTTTTACACAAATACTTGACACATTTTTTGAGCACTATTAATGAAATACATAGTGTAATTTTTTTTCTCTTTTTTTCGAAATTGCAACTTGTTATTTTTTAATAAGAAATTATATTTGTTTTTGATATTTTTTTAATATACAAATTATTTTTTTTAGATTTTTTTATAAAAATAATGTAATAATCTCATCACTAACCATAATGTATGGAAGAAGTTGAAAATGATGCAGCAGTAAGTATGGGAGGAGTCAAAAAGACTTGGAAAATTTAGCCAAAACCTTTCTATTAGACCATTGTTTGGTAAAAAGGATAACCCAATTTATTTTGCTTCGTAAACTCTTTAAGGAGAAAACACATAATTAAGTAAGGACAAAGTAAAATATCTTCTTTTTTTTTTCTTGGACAATATTGCCAGAATAACATGTTACTGTCAAACAGAATAACGGTCAAATAGAGTAACATGTTACTGTCAGCGGTAATAATTTTTTTTTAAAAAAAAAAGAATTTCACAGCCAACATGGATCTTATTTGATAGATCTTGATGAAAGAATTCTAAAAATATTAATTTTATTAAAAACCAACATCTATATCAAAAGTTATATTATTTTAAAGTTTAATATGTTGATAATAATGTGTTGAACTTTTTAAGAATTTATTTATTTTTTTATTTTTTATATTTGTCTTTAATCCATTAAAGTTTTATTATGAGGGGATTTTGACCAAATCTCCCAAAAGGCTTTTGGGTTGAGAGAAGTTAATAAATATTGAGGTTTTTTTTTTTCTTAAATCAAAAAATTAGAAATTTAATATTGGAATATTGGAGCTTCCATAAGGCTTGTGGGTTAAAAATCCCTTTTTATTTTTTTAATAAGAATTTATATTTGTTTTAGATATTTTTTTAATATACGAATTGTTTTTTTTAGAATTTTTTATAAAAATAATGTAACAATCTAATCAATAACCATAATATATAGAATAAGTTGAAAAGGGTGCGGCAGTAAGTATGGGAAAAGTCAAAAAGGCTTGAGAAATTTAGCCAAAACCCTTCTATTGGGCCATTGTTTGGTATAAATAACAACCCAATTTATTTTGCTTCATAAACCCTCTAAGGAGAAAACACATAATTAAGTGAGGATAAAATAAAATATCTTCTTTTTTTTTCTTGGGCAATATTGCCAGAATAACATGTTACTGTCAGACAGAATAACATGTTACTGTGAGACACAATAACATGTTACTGTCAAACAGAATAATTGTCAAATAGAGTAACATGTTACTGCTAACGGTAATAATTTTTTTTAAAAAAAAAAGAATTTCATAGCCAACATAGATCTTATTTGATAGATCTTGATGAGAGAATTCTAAAAATACTAATTTTATTAAAAACCAACATCTACATCAAAACTTACTAGCGGTAACCTGTGCTATGCAAGGCATGTAAAAAAATTAATAATATATTTTTATACAAAATAATATAAATAGTTAAATTTTTGTATGCAAATTGTGAAAACAAAGAAGATTGAAATTTACAATTTAAGTCCCACAATTTTATCACAATTTATTTATTATTTTTTAATTTATCACAAATTTAATCATGTAACTTTAAACATTCTTGCTAGAATTACAAATTTAAGTGAGCTCAACCCAAGCAACTTGAGTCGAGCTTAAATTTTTTTAAAGATTAAACAATATAGTTTTTAATTAAGTGAGTACTTATGCAGAAATTCAAAATTTCAAATTAAATTTGAGTGAACTTTGGCAGAAATACCAAATAACCTGAGCAACAAAAATAAAAATTATATATATATATATAAATTTGTGGGGGCCGAATATTGGGACTCATGGAGAGGCCGAATATTCGGACCTGGGTCGAAGCATATATTTCATTCGACTCCGTCCCGCAGTTTAAATCCTGCCCTATTCGACCGTATAGCCGATTGAGTATGGGGCCGAATGAGAAACGGTTTGCTGCGAACCAAGCCGAATAGACAATTACACGGCAAATTGACAGTGGGCTCATTCCCGAGCCCAAGAAGGAGAGTAATCATCAGTCAGAGGAAGGTATGTGAGAACTATTATGCTTGACTTATAATACAAGTAATCCTGAGTGTAGAGACTGACTTGCCCGTCGGAGTGTTAATTCCGACACTCCCGACCGGAGTGTTTATTCCTTTTCAGGTGACTAGCAGAGGATCACGAGCGTCCCCCAGAATCAGAAGAGTATTTCCAAACCACTTCTCCATAATTGGCGCCGTCTATGGGAATACTCAAACACATCCATGGCGGGCGTAACGGAAGACCCTCCAATAGTCACTGATGAAACCACACAGAGAGACGACCTCACTCTAACAAACATGCTTGGACCGGAGACTATCCTCACAAGACGTGCTTTGAACTTTGCTTCACCCTCGACTTCAGAGCATGAGGCGATGCAAGCAATCATGGAACAAGCAAAGCAAAACGAACAGAGGTTGGAGAACATGATTGCTGAGAACGAACGTCTCCGTCAGGATTTGGCCTTGAAAGTGGCAAAGTCCAAACAAGCTGTATGCCAAGATCCGGAATGACCTGTAAGGGCAGGTGGTCGACGATCTCGAGCCTAACAACAAGACACTGATAGCGACTCCGACTCATTATCCCCGGAGCCCAAGAAGAAGGGACGATTTGAAACTTCTAGTTCCTCTGAAGAGAGTCCACGTATAAGGCATAAGCGCAGAAGAAACAACTCAGATGAAGAAGACTAGCATAATCCCTTTGTACGACGGATCGCCATGGCAGTTTTGCCCAAAAAGTTCAAAGCTCCGTCATTCATTCTCTATGATGGAAAATCAGACCCCACCGATCATATCCGTCACTACAAGCAAGCCATGACATTGCATGCAGACGACGAGGCCCTTATGTGCCGAATATTTCCCAACAGTTTGGGACCATTGGCTGTCAGGTGGTATTATAAACTGGAGCCGGCTTCGATCAAAAGTTTCCATCAATTACAGAAATCCTTCAGGGCTAGATTCATCACCAACGAGGTCTAGCCGAAACAAGCCGACTCTCTTTGGGCAATGCAGATCCAGCCAGGAGAACCACTAAGAGCGTATTTGACGCGCTATTGGGAATGCTTTAATCTCGTTGATGACGCTTGCAACGACTCCATGGCCATCACCGCCTTCAAAATGGGTTTGCATCCTGACAGTGCTCTCCGCAGTTCTTTGACTAGAAGACCCCCCAAAACAGTCTGGTCATTAATAAAGAAAGTCGAAGAATACTGTAAAGTGGAAGATGACGCGAACAGAGGTTGGAGAACATGATCGCTGAAAATGAACGTCTCCGTCAGGATTTGGCCTTGGAAGTGGCGAAGTCCAAACAAACTGTACGCCAAGATCCGGAACGACCTATGAGGGCAGGTGGTCGACGACCTCAAGCCCGACAACAAGACACTGATAGCGACTTCGACTCATTATCCCGGAGCCCAAGAAGAATGGACGATCTAA